CTGTTGTTTTTATCTGAGCCATACCTACAAGTTCATTTTTTCAATCACTACTTAATCGTATTAATTCAGGTGGTGCAAGAGGTGCAGCAGGTCCCGCCTCAGTTCATGCTTGACTTAGCTCGAGGATATGGTTCACTGCGCCAGACTGGTTTGTTGTTTTTTATCGTTTTATTAAGCTGTTTCTTATTCAGTTATTTTGGAGGAGAATTTTGTGAAATGAGCAAAATGGTGACGTACTTGTCCATCTTTTTGCTCAGATCTCAACTGTAAGAGCAGTTTTCCTTCATTTTTCAAGTTTTATAATTTTAGGTTTTGGATCCGGCGGTTTTTCCAGCGGCACAGGTGGCGACGGCTTTTCGAAAGGTTCCTCGAAAAGTGAAAGTGAGTTTTCCCTAATTATTAAGTTTTTCTCCGATACGCAACGCGAATTGTTTTAAGTCAAATCAGCAAACTTTGGATATTGACAGTAAAGTGCGTGTTGGAAACGTTTGCATTTCTGAAATTCCTGGTGAAAAATGCATTCGTCATATTAGTTTTCTTTGTTATATTGACGATAAGGATAGCCAAGAGACATACAGAAACTGTTTTTACTGGCACTGCATCGGCGCATGCTTTGCAGTACTTTAATAGCTTTGTTGTCCGTTGTTCCCCTAACAGTTCGTTTTATGTTTGGCCGAAATAAATAAGTTTTGAGTGCGTCTCAGTTTAAAATGCATTTTTTCCTACCAATCGTAGTGAAGTTGTCTGCGTATGTGTGTGTGTGTGTGTGTATGTGTATGTGTGTATGTATATAGCAGCTTGCCCGCGGGTAACACGAACGGCCTCGTGAAAATTTTTACGGGTAAATTATTATCTCGGGAACCACGAAATCTGATAAGCTGAAATTTTAGCGTAATACCCCCTTCCCCCTCCTTCCCTCCTTGCGCACGTATGACTCCGCAAATTCAAATTCAGCGTTCCCACTCTCTCGGGTGTCACCTACGGCCCCGTGAAAATTTCGGCGGATAAATTATTACCTCGGAAACCATAAAAGCCAGGAAGCCGAAATTTTACGGTAATGTCTTCTATCCATCTACAGTCTTGCAATTTTGAATTCAGCCTCCCCGAGCGTCCGAATATCACTTGCGGCCTCGTGAAAGTTTCGGCGGAAAAAATTATTATCTCAAGGACCGCGGAAATTGGGAATCTGAAATTGTAGGATACGACTTCGCAAATTTGGGTTCAGCCTTCACGCGCACCTGGATATACGTGCGGTTTCGTAAAAGTTTTGGTAGAGAAATTGTTGTCCCTTGTACTTGAAATTTTTAGTGGGAAATTCCGCAATTTTAGAACTAGGCAACATTTCAGCTATTTTTGCACATACCAAAATGCAAAGCAATGAAAATCATTAGGAGGCACTTGTTCGGTGGACGAAATTGCACAAAACGCGCGATCGCACCGGCTGCGTTGGTGCGCCCCGCAATTTATTTTTGATTGTATTCAGGTTTTTTGGCTACCGCACTGCAAAATTCACCTCTAAAGCTAGTTTTGAGAGCCATAAAAATTCTGTACTGCATTGACTAGCTGTTTTTTTTTTTTTTTTTTTTTTTTTTT